GTGTCTGCAGTTCTAGAGTTCTCAGGTAGGGTATTCCAGATTTTAGGGCCTTTGACATACATTGAATTTTTGTAAACGTTTAGTCGGACACGGGGAATGTCGTAGAGATGTTTGTGTCTGGTGTTATGCCTGTGGGTTCTGTCACAACTATCAAGAAAGCGTTTTAGGTCAAGGTTGATATTAGAGTTTAAGGCCCTGTAGATGTAGATTGCACAGTAGTAAGTGTGGATGTACTGAACTGGGAGTAAGTTTAGGTCTATGAAGAGTGGGGGGGTGTGTTGCCAGGGATGGGATTTAGTGATTATGCAGGGGACCAAGAACACTTCCCTGAGGAACTCCAGTATCAAGTGGCCATGCTGTTGATGCTGTGTCTTTAATGGTGACACATTGATACCTATTAGTAAGGTAAGATTTGAAATATGCAAGCGCATGGCCTCTTATACCATAATGGTCAAGTTTGTGGAGTAGGATGCAGTGGTCTACTGTGTCAAAAGCTTTTCTTAGGTCAATAAAAATTCCTAGTGGATATTCCTTATTTTCCAATGCTGTGTAAAGCAGATCTAGCATTTTTATAATTGCATCATTAGTGCTTTTATTTTTCCTGAATCCAAATTGGCAGGGGTTGAGTATGTTTTGTGCCGTTATATATGAATATAGTCTCCTGTGCACGAGTTTCTCAAAGATTTTGGATAGCAATGATAAGTTTGATATTGGCCTATAGTTGCTTAAATCTGTAGGGTCACCACCTTTATGTACTGGTGTAACCCTTGCCGTCTTGAGTAGTTTTGGGAATGTGCTAGTTTCTAGTGACTTGTTAAAAAGTAATGAAATAGCATGCGAAAGGACATGGGCCACTCGCTTGTACAATAATGGTGGGACATGAGACAGATTCCCTGAGTTATTTTTAAGTGACTTTATAATCTCGGTGACTTCCGTGTGCTCAGTTGGTACAAGATAGAAGGAATTTGGGAAATTCCCATCTAGGTAGTCCCCGGCATTGGCACTGGTACGTGGGATTTTATTGGCGAGATTAGATCCTATGGTTGAGAAGAAGTCGTTTATCTTGTTAGCTGTGTCAGTGGGATGCAGTGGTGTTTCATTAGGTTTAGTTAGGACAATATTCTTGTTTTTTTCAGTTTGTGGGTCCCTAGAATCTGAGAGAGTGTTTTCCAGGTCTTTTTTATATCTCCTCTTGTGTCAGTGAATCTACTAGAGTAGTATAGTTGTTTGGCTTTCTTTATTACTTTCGTGAGAACTGATGAATAGTGTTTAAGAATATCTTTGTGTATTAAGCCCTGTCTATATTGCTTTTCATATTGGTGTTTCTTATCAATTGATTTCAGAATGGTGCTGGTTAGCCATGGGCAACCAAGCCGTTTGTTTGTGATCTGTTTCGTTTTTGTAGGACAATGTTTGTTGTATAGTCTAGGTAATTTGTTAAGAAAAATGTCTGTCCACTCATCAATACCATTGGCCTTGGAGAATTCTGTAGGCCAGTCAACAGTCTCTAGGTCAGCTGTGAACTTCCTTATTGAGGCCTCGTCATGGAGTCTAAATGAAACTTTGTTGTATTCAAGTGGTGGTTTACTAATGTTTGTCAAGAGGAAGGTAGGGTAGTGGTCTGTAGTGCTGTCTGTGATTATCTCTGATTTAAGGGGGGCTAGTATATTGGTCCATATGTGGTCTATTATGGTTGCACTTGTCTCAGTGAGCCAGGTTGGTTTAGTTATTGTTGGTATGAGAAGTGTGTTGTTCATATTGTTGATGAAATCAGTTACAGGCCGATCATCTAGTAAGCCAAGGTTGATGTTGAAGTCTCCAGCTAAGAGAAGGTGGTGCTTATTCATTTGTCTGTTTGTTATTAGTGCCTTTAATTTTTCACTGAAATTTGGGATATTTGTGTGAGGTATCCGGTAAATGGCACCGATTGTTATGGCGTCTTAAGTTTTTTACAGTAAAATTAGCAAAAATGTATTCCTATATTCATCACTAAAGCAAGTGGTGCTAATACAAGATAATTGGTTAGAGTAATAGATTGCAATACCACCCCCTACTTGGTTTGGTCTGCAGTTGTGGATTGCTGTGTATCCTGGTAGAGGGTAGATATCTATTGTGTCCTGCTTAAGCCAGGTCTCAGTAAGAATAATGCAGGAGAAGGGTGTCTTTAGTGATTCAAGGAGTGCTAGGAGGTCATCATAGTGTTTGCTTAAGGACCTGATGTTGTAGTTAAGTACTGATAGACTTTTAGCATTGTTTAGGATAGTGGTGGCTTGTGATGCTGTGTAATAAAGGCAGTTACTTTCCAATAGGTTTTGATTGGGTGTCAGATTATGGAGGTTTAGATCAGGGTCAACGTGATCAATCATCTTCTAGGTTTAAATTATGGTTATTTATATCCTGAGTTGTGTGTTGAGTTCTACTACTGATATCTGTAGTGGTGGGAAGTTTGGACAAGTATATAGCTAGAGTATTTTGGTCATATAGAGTATAGTCACTAATACACATAATGAAGTTGATGTTGTCTATGTGTTGTGCTGGAATGAACTAAAGTACAACTAGGTATAAACTAGTAATATAAAAATACAAATTAAAAATAGCACCAGACTCTCACTTGTAATTGCACTATGGTCTATGGTCTGGTGTAACTGTCAGTCCCCCTCCCTCTGGTGTATCTGTCATTTCCCCTCCCTCTGGTGTATCTGTCAGACCCCCTCCCTCTGGTGTATCTGTCAGACCCCCTCCCTTTGGTGTATCTGTCAGACCCCCTGGTGTAATGTCAGTCCCCCTCCCTTGGTGTTCTGTCATTCCCTCCTCTGGTGTATCTGTCAGACCCCTTCCTCTGTGTATCGTCAAACCCCTCCCTCTGGTGTATCTGTCAGACCCTCTCCCTCTGGTGTAACTGTCAGTCCCCCTCTGGTGTATCTGTCATTTCCCCTCCCTCTGATGTAACTGTCAGTCCCCTCCCTCTGGTGTATCTGTCATTTCCCCTCCCTCTGGTGTATCTGTCAGACCCCCTCCCTCTGGTGTATCTGTCAGACCCCCTCCCTCTGGTGTATCTGTCATACCCCCTCCCTCTGGTGTATCTGTCAGACCCTCTCCCTCTGGTGTAACTGTCAGTCCCCCTCTGGTGTATCTGTCATTTCCCCTCCCTATGATGTAACTGTCAGTCCCCGCCCTTTGGTGTATCTGTCAGACCCCCTCCCTCTGGTGTATCTGTCAGACCCCCTTCCTCTGGTGTATCTGTCAGACCCCCTCCCTCTGGTGTATCTGTCAAACCCCCTCCCTCTGGTGTATCTGTCAGACCCTCTCCCTCTGGTGTAACTGTCAGTCCCCCTCTGGTGTATCTGTCATTTCCCCTCCCTCTGATGTAACTGTCAGTCCCCTCCCTCTGGTGTATCTGTCATTTCCCCTCCCTCTGGTGTATCTTCACCCCCTCCCTCTGTGTATCTGTCAGCCCCCTCCCTCTGGTGTATCTGTCATACCCCCTCCCTCTGTGTATCTGTCAGACCCTCTCCCTCTGGTGTAACTGTCATCCCCTCTGGTGTATCTGTCATTTCCCTCCTATGATGTAACGTCGTCCCCTCCCTCTGGTGTATCTGTCATTCCCTCCTCTGGTGTATCTGTCAGCCCCTCCTCTGGTGTATCTGTCAGACCCCTCCCTCTGATGTATCTGTCAGACCCATCCCTCCCTGGGTTAATGTCAGTCCCCTCCCTCTGGTCGTATTGTCATTTCCCCTTACCTCTGGTGTATCTGTCAGTCCCCCTCCCTCTGGTGATCTGTCAGACCCTCCCTTGGTGTATCTGTCAGACCCCCTCCCTTGGTAACTGGTCAGACCCTCCCCCTGTGTAACTGTCAGACCCCTCCCTTGGTATCTGTCAGACCCCCTCCCTCTGGTGTACTGTCAGTCCCCTCCTCTGGTGTAACTGTCATCCCCTCTCCTCTGGGTAACTGTCAGACCCCTCCCTTGGTATCTGTCAGACCCACTCCTTGGTGTAACTGTTCGTCCCCTCCCCTGGTGTAACTGTCAGTCCCCTCCCTCTGGTAACTGTAGACCCCTCCCTCTGGTGAATGTCAGACCCTCCCTTGGTGTAACTGTCAGACCCCCTCCCTCTGTGTATCTGTCAGACCCCTCCTCTGGTGATAACTGTCAGACCCCTCCCTATTGGTGTATCTCAGACCCCTCCCTCTGGTGTAACTGTCAGACCCTCCCTTGGTGTAACTGTCAGAATCCCCTCCTCTGGTGTATCTGTCAGACCCTTCCATCTTGGTGTAACTGTCAGAACCCCCTCCCTCTGGTGTAACGTCAGACCCCCTCCCTCTGGTGTATTCTCAGACCCCTCCCTGTTATTGTCTTTCCCTCCTCTGGTGTAACTGTAAGTCCCCCTTCCTCTTGAGTATTGTCATTCCCCCTCCCTCTTGTGTATCTGTCAGTCTCCCTCCCTCTTGTGTATCTGTCAGTCCCCCTCCCTCTTGTGTATCTGTCAGTCCCCCTCCCTCGGGTGTATCTGTTATCCTCCTCCCTCTGTTCAATTTATCAGTCCCATTCCCTCTGGTGCATCTGTCAGTCCCCCTGCCTCTGGTGTATCTGTCAGTGCCCCTCCTTCTGGTGTTTACCTGGAGAGAGTCCCAGGAGTCAACGCCCCCGCGGCCCGGTCTATGACCAGGCCTCCTGGTGGATCAGAGCCTGATCAACCAGGCTGTTACTGCTGGCTGCATGCAATCCAACGTACGAGCCACAGCCCGGCTGGTCAGGTACCGACTTTAGGTGCTTGTCGAGTGCCTGCTTGAAGACATCAAGAGGTCTATTGTAATCCCCCTTATAAATGCCAGGAGGCAGTTGAACAGTCTCAGGCCACTGACACTTTTTGTATTGTCTCTTAACGTGCTAATGGCACCCCTGCTTTTCTTTGGGGGGATGTTGCATCGTCTGCCAAGTCTTTTGCTTTCGTTGTCAGTGATTTTCGTGTGCAAGTTCGGTACTAGTCCCTCTAGGATTTTCCAGGTGTATATAATCATGTATCTCCCGCGTGCGCTCCAGGAAATACAGGTTCATGAACTTCAAGCGCTCCCAGTAATTGAGGTGTTTTATCTCCGTTATGCGAGTTGTGAAGGTTCTCTGTACATTTTCTAGATCAGCAATTTCACCTGCCTTGAAAGGTGCTGTTAGTGTGCAGCAATATTCCAGGCTAGATAGAACAAGTGACCTGAAGAGTGTCATCATGGGCTTGGCATCCCTTGTTTTGAAGGTTCTCATTATCCATCCTGTCATTTTTCTAGCAGCTGCGATTGATACAATGTTATGGTCCTTGAAGGTGAGATCCTCCAACATGATGACTCCCAGGTCTTTGACTTTGGTTTTTCACACTATTTTGTGGACAGAATTTGTTTTGTACTCTGATGAAGTTTTAATTTCCTCATGTTTACCATATCGGAGTAATTGAAATTTCTCATCATTGAACTTCATATTGTCTTCTGCAGCCCATTGAAAGATTTGGTTGATGTCCGCCTGGAGCCTTGCAGTGTCTACAATGGAAGACACTGTCATGCAGATTCGGGTGTCATCTGCAAAGGAAGACACGGTGCTGTGACTGATATCCTTGTCTATGTCGGATATGAGGATGAGAAACAAGATAGGAGTGAGTACTGTGCCTTGCGGAACAGAGCTTTTCACCGTAGCTGCCTCGGACTTTACTCTGTTGACTACTACTCTTTGTGTTCTGTTTGTGAAGAAATTATAGATCCATCTACCAACTTTTCCTGTTATTTCTTTAGTACACATTTTGTGCACTATTACACCATGGTCACGCTTGTCGAAGGCGTTTGCAAAGTCTGTATATATTACATCTGCATTCTTTTTGTCTTCTAGTGCATCTACGACCTTGTTGTAGTGATCCAATTTTTGGGACAGATAGGAGTGACCTGCTTTAAACCAATGTTGCCCCAGGTTGTATAACTGATGGGTATCTAGATGGGTGGCGATCTTGCTTCTTAGGACCCTTTCAAAGATTTTTATGATATGGGATGTTAGTACTATCGGTCTGTGGCTCTTTGCTGTTGCTTTACTGCCCCGTTTTTGGAGTGGGGCTATGTTTGTTGTTTTTAGTAACTGTGGGACGACCCCCGTGTCAATGCTCCCTCTCCCTAGGATGGTAAAAGCTCGTGATAGGGGCTTCTTGCAGTTCTTGATGAACACGGAGTTCCATGAGTCTGGCCCTGGGGCAGAGTGCATGGGCATGTCATTTATCGCCTGTTCGAAGTCATTTGGCGTCAGGATAACATCAGATAGGCTTGTGTTAACCAAATTCTGTGGCTCTCTCATAAAAAAATCATTTTGATCTTCGACTCTCAGTCTGGTTAGCGGCTTGCTAAAAACTGAGTCATATTGGGACTTGATTAGCTCACTCATTTCCTTGTTGTCATCTGTGTAGGACTCATCTTGTTTAAGTAAGGCCCAATACTAGACGTTGTTCTAGACTGATTTGGCATAAGAAAAGAAATACTTTTGGTTTCTTTCTATTTCGTTTATGGCTTTTAGTTCTTCCCACGATTCCTGACTCCATTAAGATTCCTTTAGCTTAAGTTAGATGTTTGCTATTTCTCTGACCAGTGTCTCCCTAAGCATTTCAGATGTATTGGCCTCTTTTAGCCGCTCTGTTAATCTTATCCGTCGCCTGTAAAAGGAACACTTGTCTCTTTCTATTTTACATCTACTCCTCTTTTTTTCTTAAAGGAATAAGCCTTGAGCATATATCGAGTGCCACCGAGTGTATCTGTCAATCCTCCTCCCTCTGGTGTGTCTGTCAATCCCCCCTCCCTCTGGTGTATCTGTCACTCCCCCTCCCTCTGGTGTACCTATCAGTCCCCCTCCTTCTGGTCAGCCCTCCAGATATTTTGATATTTATTATCAAGACTTGTTTACTAAATGAGTGTGAATATCTGACCATTATGTATCATTATGCCTCACTTCATGGAATACCGCAATAAATTTTTTTGTACACATCTGGTGAATTGCCAAAACTTTAATATTTATGTCACTTTGAGGCGTATTTCAGAAAATTTCATGTCCAAAACTGAACGAAATCATTTTCATTTCACTAGCATATCTTCTCAGTGGGACTGAGAAAGGCCAATTAAACTGTGTAAAGGACCATCATGAACTGCCTGGGGGCAAGATTGTTTTTACACTGAGCACATGCACTGCACAGACACAGTCTCTCAGGTCTAGGTTATAGTTTACCACTCACAACAAGATCTGTGACACTGGTCCCTCTGATGTAGATCTTCCTGAGTGACAGTGAAAGTGTTATTACTTGTTTACTATAATTCATGTAATTATCTTTAACACAGACAACATCAGGTCCAGTTACACTGACAATTGACAACAAGCAAAACCATATCACCTCACTATTTCATCACTGTCCACAGGTAACATCACTCCAGACCCACTGTTCACCACTGTGAACAGGCAACATCACTCCAGACCCACTGTTCACCACTGAGAACAGGTAACAACACTCCAGACCCACTGTTCACCACTGAAGAAATTGAAATATCACTCACAGCTCATTAAAGATGGTAAGGACCATTCTTGTGTGCTCATTGTGATGTTTTCACCTACGTGTGTGTATGGGGTTGAGCTCTGGCACTTGGGACTCCACCTTTACTTATAGATCATCAAGTATACTAACCTGCTTTTAAGGATATTGCCAGAAATAATTAGCTTACACATATATATATTCAAATCCATTTGAACTTCTACTATATATTCTTGTTCCCTCATTCCATTTTCTCCAGTGATGAAGAACATTGTACTGGGAAATAATACCAGGAACTTCCAAGACTGAAAAGTTTGCATTGAACCAACAGATAACAGAACCTACTTAAAATGAAAAGGAACTAGATTTTTATCTTAAGGGAAAGTGAGGAAGTAATCAGACACATAACAATCTCAGGTACAATAAACTCTGATCATTATCATGCAAGAAAACATAAATTCATATGTGGACAAGCTAAGAGATAGCGAAAGGAAAAGAATGTTCAGTAAATTTACTGTCAACAATCCAAGGATTGACCATGATGAACTTTCAAACATTTCCTGGGAAACAATCCTCAGAACCATTACATTATACTACTCTAATTTTCCTTACCTACTATGTATTTATGCATGAAGATCCACTACAGCAAATCACCTGAAGTCAATAAAAACTCAACAAAAATTAACTGAATGAATAATCATTCAGTCTAGTGCTAGGAAATACACTCCTCCACTCTTAAAAAAACTTAAACATATGTACTTAAAATTCAAAAAAAATATCACTCATATTCTGACACAGATGTAACAAAAAGTCAAGTCAAATATTAACCTGCCCTAAAACTTTTTCTTGATAGTTGCAATGAACCAAGGAATAATGCTGACTATATAATCTCTTGATTTTTCCCCGTGTGGACTCAACCTGTGAAAACCCTCGTGTGCATAATAAAAGGACCCCGATTTTATTGTCAGTCAACTACTTCGAATTACTGTTAAAAGCCCCTTCTTACCTTAATGTATCCTAACAAAAATTATCTTCATTTTACTAAAAATTTCCCTTGAAACTCCATTTCTATCAAAATGTTTTGGGAGGTTCAGGGGGATATCAGCCCTTTCAGCCCTTTCAGCCCCTTTCAGCCTGAGGGAGACCCCTCAGAAAAAGACAATGCTTTGTTCCCCTTTGCATCATTATTGAAATTTGGGAAGCTTGCCCAGCGTGTATCTACACACACCGGTCTTTGCAAGAGACCAGTGTTCAACTAGGGTGGGTTAATGATAGATATTAATCTCTTATCTTAAACAATTAGGGAAACCCTGCCCCCCCCCTTTTTTCCTGTTAAGAAAACTACACTGAGTCTATGCCCAGAAAACGAGAAAGTAAGCATTCTGCTTTGCTTCCTGGAGAAATTTGCCAAGTTAAGGGGGCTGTAGGGGAATTTGCCGCGCGCCTCACCCAAAAATCGGAAAAAAAAATGGGGAAAAAGGTTTATAACTGAAAAATTGCTCAAATCTTTGGCAACACAATGGTACCCGATGAATGTTTTCGACACCAAAAAACCGGCACATAAAAGAACAGAAGCTTACGACACGTTTCGGGCCCACTTGGACCCCTTGACAAATCACACTAATGAGGAGGACAGGAAGGGTATATATAGGGAGGAAGAGGTGGTGGTAGTAGTAGTGGTTGTAGTGTAGTAGTAGTATAGTACAAAATTGTATATTACCCACAGGTAAAAGAAATGCACAACCCCGGGCATCCCCGTCAGGTATTTTGCCTTTTTTTTATTTTTTTTAATGTTCTACGACGTTTCTACAAGAAATTATAGTCTTTTTTTCAGGTTTTGGGGACGGGGATGTTGTACCCCAGTTTGCTCACGGCCCTTATTTTTTTGGATTATTTTCTTGTTTTTTATGCCTTTTCTTTTCATTATTCTTTTAATTAATAACTGACATTGGCATCATAAAACGTAGGGGGACTTTTCCCGGGGATTAGGACTGCCGGGGGAACCAATGGGAACGCCCCAGCATGTTCCAGGCCTGAGGTGCCCCCGGAATCGCCCCTTATTACGTTATTTCAGCTTTTTTATCATTCAGGCTTTTTTGTGTATCAGAATTGATCTAATTGATATAAAAAACACTCTAAATAGCATACAAACTGTTATTTTCTTAGGCTAATAAAATAGGCCATAATATGACGAAAGATTATCGGGGAAAATTTTGATAAATGTTTAGTCATGTCCCATTTTATGTCTCTGAGAGAAAAAAGGGAAAACGGTGGGGTTTTTTAAGAGTACGCACAAAACAACATTTTTAACTAAAAAAAATAAAACCCAAACCGCGATTTTGCGAAAATTTTTTTTTTTTTTTGAGACGGGGGGGGGCCCGGGGTTCCCGGCCGATATCTGGAATAACTTATTCACCCTTTAAATTTGATGTGGGCCTTTATTATTTTTTTAATGGAAAATATTCACAGTATTTTTAGAATAATGATTTCCTTATTTGACCGTAGATTTTTGAAAAAATTTCCAAATACTTTGGGGGGTTTTGTGGGGGTAAAAGGGGAGATTTTTTTGCAAATTCCAGAAATAAAAAACTTTATTTTTTTGTGAAAAAAAGATAAGGATTTTTGAGGGAAAAGTAACGGCCCAATTGTATTGCTTGTACCTTTGGCACCAAGTGTCCAAACCCCCTTGTAGCCGCAATTTAAGAGTTACTCAACCTAAGGGGTTTTCATAAACAGCTTTTCTCTTGTTGTTTGAGGATATTTTTGATAAATATTTTCAAGAAAGAGTGAGAACACTTTGTCTTGTGCACCAAAACTGGAGAAAATCGGACGGTAAATAAACGAGTTACGAAATTTGCCCTCGAGGTTTGTTTTTTCTCATTGTGCACTGTGTGCTGCAGGATTTTTTATACTGTGCATACTGACCACATAGACACATTCTTTCATATGTAGGTCTACCAGCTTTCTCTCACTAGATATGAAAGTGCTAGAATTTAGGCGTTCTAGTTCATCAATAACCCTGGTGTGTAAGCCGTACTAGTATGTTGGAAACCCTGAAAGGTTTAAAATACTTGAAATTTTGGAAAGTTCCCAGACATAATAGATGTAGTCACGTAGAATGTAAAAAACCAGGTGAGGCATACTGTATTTGAAAGACTGCTTGCCATATAGCAAATTCTGTTCATAATTTGACATCGCTGTATTAGCGGTATGCTGTAAGACGAAACACTGTAAAGCGGGGCCCTACTGTATATAGTACTTGATATACAATTCTGTTTATACTTGTATTCTATGTACAGTGAGGTATGCTCACATACAATCAAATAACAATGAAAAAATATAATATAAAATTGTGAAAAATACATAAATGTGCATCTAAACTCTAGAAATAAAGAATACCATTAATACTTGTAATAAAACAAATTAGTACAAAAATAATAAAAAAAATACTGTATTTTATCCTAGTTTCATGTTGCTGAACTTGCAGGACAGGAGGCAGAGGAGAGAATTAATGTTTATGTAAATATTTGTTGTATAAATTGTTTGTTACAACATACCTCACTGTATGTGGTGTAATCTTTATTTATATTCAACAGCTGCAGAATCAGTAAATAAGACAAGCATGTTTAGAAACTGAAAAATTTCAGTTGTAGCAACAAGAAAAATTTGGATATTCATAATTCATGATGCCCATGGAACATAAACCTGCAAATTAACCCTTAAACTGTCCAAATGTAGATCTACGCTCATTTGCATAGCACTCCGAACATAGATCTACCATTTTTTACACAAGAAACCATGTAAAAACGAACATAGATCCACGTTCGGAGCGCCACGCAAGCGAGTGTAGATCTACATTTGAACAGTTTAAGGGTTAACCTTTCTTTATTTATAAAAATAATTGTCTGTATTAAGTACAATTAAAGATGTTTATCCCAACACAGGGAGCATTACATCCAGTACCCATTGATTACCAAACACAAGCAACTTGCTGCCTGGTCCCACTGCTGGGCCACTGACCAGAGGCAACATCTTGGCCAGTCCCACTGCTGGACCACTGAGTACAGGCAACTTCTTGGCCAGTCCCACTGCTGGAATCACTGACCACAGGCAACATCTTGGCCAGTCCCACTGCTGGACCACTGACCACAGGCAACATCTTGGCCAGTCCCACTGCTGGACCACTGACCACATCGCACTCAGTTCCACCGACAGCAAAGTTTCACTCACGGACCATTGAGGATGGTAAGCTAATTTTTATATTTGGATATTTTCACTCATTTATGTCTGAAAAGGTAGAGCTCCAGCTCTTGATACCTGCCTTTGCTCATCATTTATTTGTAAGGTAATCATTAGATATAAATATTTCTTATAATAATGATATTTTAATTTGACAAGATACAGTGGATCCCTGACCAACGAAGGCATTGTCTAACGGAAAAATCGCCTTACAAAGCATATTGGCGTAAAAATTTTGGCCTGACCAACAATGAAAAACTCGACTAACAGCATTTGTCCCAAATGTGTCTGTCTGTCTGTCCAGCTGAGCGCGCCTCAGCTGCCCTGCCTTCAGCTACTGTGCCATTGTTTACAAGCCAGGGCAGACTGTTTCACGCATACATGCGACATATTTTGTATTATTCCATTGTTTTTAGTGCTTGTAACTGCTAAATAAACCACCATGAGCCCAAAGAAAGCTTCTAGTGCCAACCCTGTGGTAAAAAGGGTGAGAAATACTATTGTACCACGGTCATCTGTTGCTGCACCATCGTCAGCTGCTGCTCCTGCACCACTGTCAGCTGTTGCTGCACCACTGTCAGCTGCTGCTGCACCACCATCAGCTGCTGCTGTACCACCATCAGCTGCTGCTATTCCATGGTCAGCTTCTGCTGCTGCTGCTGCTGCTGCTGCCACACCGTCAGTTGTACTACTCGAAGATGTGGAGAGAGTGCTGTTGATGTCGTTTAACAAGAAACAATCACTGAGAAACAATTAACCCTAGAGGGTTAGCCACCCAGGATAACCCAAGAAAGTCAGTGCATCATCGAGGACTGTCTAACTTATTTCCATTGGGGTCCTTAATCTTGTCCACCAGGATGCAACCCACACCAATCAACTCACACCCAAGTGAACAGGAAAAATGTCTCGAACTATTGCTCATATTGTTGAATTTAAGGCCAGCAAAGGTTGGTTTGAGAGATTTAAGAATCATACTGGCATACACAGTGTGATAAGGCATGGTAAAGCTGAAAAATTCCAACCTCAAAAAGTGTTCAGTTGTGACAAAACAAGCCTGTTCTGGAAGAAAATGCCAAACAGGACCTACATTACTCAAGAGGAGAAGGCACTCCTAGGACACAAGACTATGAAAGACAGGCTAACTTTCATGTTTTGTTGTAATGTTAGTAGGGATTGCAAAGTGAAGCCTTTACTCATGTATCACTCTGACAATCCCAGAGTGTTCAAGAAAAACAGTGTCTCATCACTCATCAATACTCTTCAATAAAGGTAAGTGTCATTTTAGCATTTATTTATGCAGTAATTGAAAAAAAAAATATTTTTTTAATACTTTTGGTTGTCTGGAACTGATTAATTTGATTTCCATTATTTCTTATGGAGAAAATTAATTTGACTAACGATAAATTCGCCTAAAGATAAGCTCTCTGGAATGGATTAATATCGTTGGTCGAGGGTCCATTGTACGTGTTTGTACAAAGGAAAATAATAGTTGGGTGTTCATGCCAAAAGCCCCTTCATATGCAGAGCATTTCAGGCAAACTTAAAGTTAACTTAAGATTAATAAGACAATAACAGTTCATATGGTCATTAGATGAGTTTACAATTTGAATACAAAAGAATTGAGTATCCTGTTGGGTAATGCTATGTGGCTTTAATAATTCTAGTAGAGAAGACATACAATTTTAATTACAGTGGACCCTCGGTTAACGGCCATTCCTGTTATCGGCCAACTTGGTGATTGGCCGGCTTTTTGGCTCCCAGTGATCGGCCATTATTTCGGTGATTGACCGTTTGGGACGCATCCATTCACCAGCTGGGGCAACTTGTGCATCAGTTTGCCTGTGTCTCTCGGTGCACGAGGAAGCTTCTGTTCATACATCCAAACATTTCACTTGTTTTCCATTGTTTTTGTGGGTAACCATGGCTCCAAAGAAAGTTCCTGTGGTAAAAAAAGTGAGAAACACCATCGAATTTAAGCATGAAGTGACTCAAAAATATGAGAGTGGTATGTGGGTGCTGGAACTTGCCAGGATGTATAGGAAAAGCAAATCAACAATTACATCTATCCTGGCAAAGAAAGAACAAATCTAGGACACTAATGTTGCAAAAAGGAGTAACTTTTCTAATGAAACAATTGTTACCAATAATGGAACAGATGGAAAAGTTGTTTTTATTGTGGATTAAGGAAAAACAATTAGGGGGAGACAGTGTTATGGAATCTTTTAAATTTGTGAGAAGGCAAGGCTGTTACATGAGGATCTACTATGGAAAACTCCTGGAACAAGTGCTGCTGGTAGTGAAATTTTTAGGGCCAGCAAAGGCTGGTTTGAGAGATTTAAGAAGTGTAGTGGCATGCAGTGTTGTAAGGCATAGAGAGGCTACAAGTTCTGATAAATGTGCAGCTGAAAAGAATGTACAGGAATTCAAGGACTTTGTAAGGGTTGAAGGATTCAAACCCCAACAAGTGTTCAATTGTGAGAAAACAGGCCTGTTTTGGAAGGAAATGCCAGACAGGGCCTACATCATACAGGAGGAAGAGGCACTGCCAGGACACAAGCCTGTAAAAGACAGGCTTACTCTTTTGTTGTGTGGTGATGCTAGTGGGGATTTCAAAGTGAAGCCTTTACTGGTGTATCACTCAGAAAATCCCAGTGTTCAAGAAAAGCAATGTCTTCAAGAATAGATTGTGTGTGATGTAGAAAGCTAAACATAAGGCATGGGTCACAAGGTAAATTTTCAAAGAGTAGGTTAACCCTTTGAGGGTCGACAGGGCCCTCTCCGAGTCTCGTTCTCAGGGTCGGCCAAATTTAAAAAAAAAAATATTTTTTTCTTATGAAAAGGTAGAGAATCTTTTCCCAATCATAATGACACCAAAAGTATGAAATTTGATGGAAAACTTACGGAATTATGCTCTTGCGAAGTTAGCGGTCTCGGCAAAGTTTACGAACCGGCGATTTTGCCCACTTTGAGCCCCATTTTCGGCCAATTCCACTGTACTAGTCGACAAAAAACATGAATATTTCACTAGAACTCCATTTTTCTATCGAATGAGTGCAAGAAACCACCCATTTACCGATTTCAATTATCCAGTACAGTGGTCAGAATTTAGCAATTTTGCCAATTTCACACAAATTTCAAAAGATGCCAATTTCCGAATAGGGTCCAGAATAAACAAGAAAGACATTCCTGGCACTAAAATGACATTTCCTCTGTTCATTAGTCACGTCTCAAGGCCCCTCTTACATTCTTCTGCTTTCCACTTTGAATTTTTATTCTCACAAAAAAAGAAGATTTACTGTTATGCAGACTACTGCATTAGTGTAAAAAATGGTATAAATAATATTGGCGCACTTGCAAAAGAATATTAGACTCACCAGTTGATGTGTATTGGACGCTTGGCATGATTTGTTTACTTTTGAACTTTGGTAAAAATCAAACATTTCTGCTATGTGAGCTCAATTTCAAGGTACTTTTCATTGTAAAACCAGTCAAAATCATCTCAATTTCTGTAATATGTCTTCCATTCTATAAAATGAGACCAAGAAAACTAGAATACAGCAGTAAATACCATACAAAAATACAGTGAAAAGTCGCTGTTTTATTCCAAAAAGATGGTCAGTTTTTTTTCTCATTATGCACTGTGTGCTGCAGGATTTTTTTTATACTGTGCACACTGACTACATAGACCCATTCTTTCATATGTAGGCCTACCAGCTTTCTCCCACTAGATTTGAGGGCGCTAGAATTTAGGCGTACTAGTATATCTAAAACCCTGGGCCGTAAGCCGTATTAGTATGGCCGAAACCCTCAAAGGGTTAATGATGTGAGGAAATGGCACAAGTGCAGGAATCTACACTATACCATGTGGGGGGTGTGACAAAGTATATGTAGGGGAAACAGCCAGAACTCTGGACATTAGGATAGGAGAACACAAAAATGCTTGCAGAAATGATGACCACAAAACGCATGTGTTCAACATAGAGACGATGTTGGACACCTCATGAAATTCAATGAAGCTAAACTAGTTATTAAAGAAGACGACTTAAGACGGAGAAAATGCATTGAAGCTGCACTAATTTCTGTCAGTAACACTATAAAGCAAAAGTCCGGTAGTTACAGCATTTCAAAATTACTAAGCAAGAGGATATTACCCATCCTGGGAACTGGTGTTACTTGATGCCAGCAGGTCCCTCTCTAGCCTCACCTCCTTAGTTCCATTACTATTACTACTACTACTACTACTACTACTACCACTACCACCTCTACCCACGTGTCACCTCACCTGACTCCTGCCACTATATATATAAATGTTTTCTTAGTTTTCTCTGTATTAGGACTGAAGAAGCCACTCGTGGCGAAACGTCTCCTTTAATAAATGTCCTGAACTGTACATAAGAGTCTTTTTCCACACACGGTTAATGATGTGTTTGGCCTAAGAGTGAAAAAATATCTCCTGGGAAAGAAATTGCCACTCAAGTGCCTCCTGGTAATGGACACTGCCCCTGCACATCCTCCAGACTTGGTAGACCAAGTGTTTAGGGACTTCAGGATTATAAAAGTGAAGTTCTTGCCTTCTAACACTACTCCTCTCCTCCAGCCCATGGACCAGCAGGTCATTTCTAACTTCAAAAATTCTATACAAAAGCAATGTTTCAAAAGTGTTTTGAAGTGATCTCAGACACTCAGTTGACCCTAAGAGGGTTCTGGAGGAATCACTCAGTATCCTCAATTGCATAACTTTATAGGTAAGGCTTGGGGGAGTGACCTCCAAGACTTTGAAACCCCTTT